TGCAATTGAAGCAGTAGCGTTACTTGAATAATGTTTCATTAGAATCGGTCATCGATGGAGTCCTAAAGGTACGTATGTCTTTCTCAAAATTTCGTTTGCACAAAATTAACTTTTTACAACAGCTTTCATTTGTTTTACTCTCGCATCTGATTCACTTCGTCGATTCATTGTGTTGTCGAGATTTGATGAGCGAGATCAATTTGGTTTTCCTTCAGCTAGTGTGAATCTTCAAGTGGTGTAGAATTTTGGCCTCGGAGTTAAATTACCAAACGATGGCTTTCCATCGTGGCCCTATTTCTCACTGATACTCTCTCTGTTTGAAAAAAATCGAGTTGATGGAAGAAATTTGATGGACTTCCCGTAATCAAATTGCAACAAAAAGCGACAGAGTTTCGCACTTAGCTAAGCATGAAACGTGTGCTAGCTGTTGGTTGCTAAACTGGACTTGGATACACATCCATTTCAATAGCAAAATACTCGCAATCTATGATCGTTTAAGAAAAATATTCTTAGGAACGATAGTTTTCGAGGAGCGATTCTTTCCTTCTCTGCGTACTTCCGTGTTACTTTCTTAAGCTGTTCGTCAAAAGGTTGCTGTCATCTCATCATCAAAAGTATTCAAGTTACCCTAGCTTGTACTGTGTTGGTAAGGCAACAGAGGAATGTTTATTGTTTATCTTCATCGGATTTTAGAGAGACTGAGGTGTCTCAGCAGTTAGCAAACAGTTAATTCAGTTAACCAAACTGAGAAGTTTCTCGGAAAGCAAGCACCGAAGGGAAAAATGGATGTAAGTTGGTTTAAATAATTCTCACTTTACTTTGTTAAGTAAGTGTAAAATAGCATGTTTAAGAATATGAATGGAGGAAAATTTAAAGTTCTGATCGGTCAGAAAAGACTGCTGCTCCCATGCTAAACGGGTGAAAATTTGTATCATGGATGCAAATTTCGGATTTCACGTTTTTGACGTGCCAAGTTTGAACTAATAAACAACGTAATCTGTCTCAACCATCAGTTGAATGACATACGAATAAAGTTAAAGCATGCACTGTCCAAATTACAGTCGTTCTGATTTTTTTCCCATGTATAAATATTGCAAATTTTAATGTCAGACTGCAGGTTGAACCACGGTCTAAGAAAAGTTACTGCTTACTTTTATTAAATCGTGTGACTACCAATTCTTATGTACCACGTAGACACCTGATTTAAAATGGGGAAAGTAAATAGACAATTACTAAATAATTGCTAACCTCTATATCACTGGTACTTGGTTTACCATCTCATTACATACGGGGTGATAAACTTCTTACTCGTTGAGTAGAGAGAAAGTCGCCTCATACTGATTTCGTTCTTTCTCTCCTTCGCTCCTTCGTTCCTTCGTTCCTCAGTTAACCTTTGAGTCAGGTAACCGTTTAAATATTCACTTGATACCCTAATTATAGTCTTGGCGACAACAATATCAGATCGAAGATGAAGACGAGGCGTTGGCCAAGGCACTTGAGCTTTCTAGTCTGGAGCAACAAGGGAGTCAAGGACCACAAAGACGATCAACAGTTGAGCCGTGTCAGACTGAATTTAAACGACCAGCTGAAGCTTCGGGTCCAGATTTCAAGAGTACGTTGACGTCAGTTTCTATGCTTTCCATGAACCTCCGCAGCATTAATTTCCAAATTGTTACCATTACTGCCTTATACTTAAGTTTCCAATGATCGCACCAAATAAGTAGACTTTGACCCTCTAGTTTTGACAAAGCAAATTTGAGGGAGAAGAGAGTTTGTTTTGTATAAGTGTAGCAAAGTTTTTTCTCTAAAATTTTGTACTCAAAAGGGAAAACACGGTCGCAAGCTGGATCCAGGAGGGCAACTCCACTTTGCCTACCAAACAACTGTAAATGGGATTCGAGTTCAGGCGAATGTATTCAAACAGGAGAAAGGCGAACCTCACTGTATGTGTTGGATGAAGCACTTGAAAACCTCCGGAGGATAAGAGGTAAACTGTAAACTTATTCATCACACTTTTTGACCCCGATGGTCAACGTGGGTAAGATCATTAAAAAAATAGTTTTCTCTACTACGTAAAAAGTGTGCAATTTTTTTTCTGTTAGAGTTTTTTAACCAAAAATTCATCAAAGGCTGAGTCACAAATCAATCAATCAATCAATCAATCAATCTTTATTTAGCCACGGAATCCTTATGACTAAACCTATCATTCGTTCTTTAGTTTTTGCAATGCTTATTGTACACATCAACCTTTTTATTTAAGAGGAAAGAAAAAGAAGTGAAAACATGGATACACTCGCCTGTTGTAATCTGTGTTCTATAAATGACGACACACACAGAAGTATGGAATCTAAATTTTTGTTCATTAGACAGCGGACTAGTCCTATGTATGATTCTTGTGATCAATGATCATCTAGGTCCAGTATGTGTGGTGTCTATAGCCGGGCCATACAGGAAAGGAAAGTCTTTTGTACTCAGCGAGGCGTTCAATCAACCACAAGTTTTCCCTCTTGGGCATCACATGGAAGCGCAAACCATGGGAATCTGGTCATGGATTGTGCCGGAAAAGTTCAGGGTTTGCCGAATCTTTATTTCAATTGTATTTTGTAATTTATGATGTCCTTCTTAGCGACATATGGAGATTTAATTGAGATATTTCTTATAAGGATGCTAAAGGCCAGGAATTCACAGTAGTGTTGCTAGACTCTGAGGGAATTGATGCCGCAAATGGGCAAGGACTTGATGATAACCAGATCTTCACTTTAACGGTCTTGTTAGCCTCAGTTTTGATCTACAATTCACAAGGCGTTCCAACTAGACATGATCTTGAAGGACTAGAGTATCCTTTTAAATGCAGTAACAACGACATGTTGTTTAATTTAAAATTACCAGGTATTCAATCATTGGTGAAGAGGGAGAGAGAGCTAGTTGAATAAAGTCAATTTGAATTTTTAAGGTAGAGATTCAAAACGCTTTTTGCATACACCACGTCTCAGTACTACCAGAATTATTGATACGAGAATCCGTGAAAATAAATCTGTTTACGGAAGTTAAATAATCACATAATTGTGAGTGTAATTTGGGATTAACCAAGCACGGGTAAATGTTTCAAACATTAAATTAAATAAGAATTTAACAGAGTTGATTTCTTCCAAATTGCACTTACAATCATGTGAATGCTTGTTAGTAACTTAAATCCAAAACTTTCACTCTGTTTCCCTCTTAGTCGTGTTTATTTCGCGTCATGGCTCACTGGTTTCATCTGCTTGGCTTTGTGTTGTTGCCAGAATCGGGCTTTCCCAGCAAAAAGTTGTTTCAAGCCTTTCTTATACGAAAAATTGAGCGCTTGTTTTCCTTTCATACTCAAATATCGGACAACCGGTACACGAAGACTGTATCGGACGCCCTTCAGTTAGCAGGGCTCGAGTCCATCAGGGCCCACCAGGAAAATTTAACAGAACATCTTTTTAAGTCTACTGTTAATGGTCCACGAAGTAAGATTACCAGCCTCCTGCTTCCCTCAGTTTCTATATCATATGAGCTGAGAAGGCAGAGGAGGTTTGCCACGCCTTTTGTAAAGACAAATAGATTCGGAAATTCATTCAGTGTTAAGAGTGCGAGGGAAGCATTTAAGTGATTTTTAAGAGTAGTTGTCTTTGTAATTTTATTATAGTAGTAGTTATAGATCATTTCTTATTTCTTACTTGTAAAGAGACGCAACTCAGTTTTTTAACTACACTGTTTTCTTAATAAATACAGTCAACAGTCAACAGTCACCAGTCAACAGTCAGCATCGCAATCTTCCGTGTCGTATGAAATTTTCCCTAAACAGCTCGCCAATTTTTTTCCAGGGCATTCGGTTTGTACTGCCTAGCACTTCCGTTTCACCTGGTTTTGGAGGCCCATGACTTGCACACATTTAGCCGGTTGTTTGTGCTTTGTTGGCTGTTTTCATTCCTAGCACTCTCCTTCAAAACTCCGCCATTCTGGTTTCTTGTCCTTTCGCGACTTATCTGTCAGTCAAGTATATTTAAACTTTTGGCTCTCGATTTCAATTTTTATTTGCACTCAATTTTAAATTTATAGACAGGTGAAAACGAACGATATAATATCCCGACGTTTCGGGATGGGGATATTATACCGTTCGTTTTTACCTGTCTATGTATTACTAAATCTTTGTTAATACGAATTTTAAATTTCTGCAATGTTTGGTTGAATTGACCTATTCTCAGCCAATGAGCTACTATGATTATTGCTAGCATGTTTTTAAATCAGATATCACCATTTGATCATCCTTACTTTAAAGAAAAATTTCCTTTTGCGATCATAATGGTGATGGGTTCATTAGAAATTGAAATATAGAAAGTATTTTAGATAAAAATGGGAATAAACCAGTTTTGATTTGTGCTATGATCAAGACTGATTAAAAGCACTCGAGGATCAGGCCAAACTGAGTACATATACTGTAATTTGGTTGTATCAACTAAGTTGAAATTGCAAATTGGCCACCGTAACGAGTTAAAAGCTTTTTAACTCGTTGCGGTGGCCAATTTGCAATTACAACTTAGTTGATTTTAACAAATTACCTTGCTACCCCACCGACGCAGCACCACAGTTTCTTTAGAAATTTTCACTCTTTATATATATACTGTAGCTTGCTGATGTTTTTTTGTATATAATCTGGATATGTATTTTTCTTTAACAAGTGAAGTTTCATTGTGAAACTAACTGAACACATTGAGATACAATCAACAACAAGGCAGGAGACCAGAAGAAGCCATCGTGACTCAGAGTATTTCCATAAGACCTTTCCTTTCTTCATTTGGTTACTTAGGGACGTTACTCAAGCCATTCCAACAGACTGCAGCAACATTAAGGACTACTTTCTGAAAAAGGTAGTTTGGTGCTTAAATCCTGAACGAAATATTGAATATAGTCAGCAGTTCGGAGGGCTACTGAATAGTACACGAGTCTCAAATTTTTTAACAATGGCCACTGAATCATTCGCCTCTTCCCATTCACGGATTCAGTGGCAAAATTCCTGTCTAATGAAAGGTGGTTTCTTCTATTAAAGCTTTCATAAATCGTTGCTCTATATTGGATATTGTTCTTACCTATATCTTTATAATTTCACCTATATAATTTTATTTTTTCTCAAGAATTAAGGCTGATCTATAATAAAAATAATGATTAGTAATGATGATGATATGAGCACCTCTTCTATAGCGCGTATACATTGCTGCTGTAGTCTAGTGGCCCACTAGTTAACGAGTCAGATCAAGAGGCTAAGTTCTAGCAATAGTTAGGCCATGTGATTTTTGTTTTGTCCAGGGTAAGAAACTTTGCTCTCATGGTTTTTTTCTCAACTCAGGAATACAAATGGTAAAGTTTGAGGAGAATTAGACATCCCATCACAAGGGTATATTGATATTGAAGCAATTCCCAAAACGTTAACTGGATAACCAGTTGGGTGAATTTAGGTGAGCTACATGTCATAAGGAAGAACATAAGGTTGTCTTAGCGAAAGCACAACAACCATAACTGTCAAAATATTGTCTCCTCAGTTAACCCTATCTGCTTTTAAGATTTCATCAAAACGAAACGGCATATTTTATTTTGATAGGTATTTAAAGTTCAGGATTCCTCAGCTATTGGCCAAAAAAGTCAGAAAGTTGCTGAAAGCATCTTAAGCTTCTTTCCAGGTTTTGAAGCATTCGCTTTACCCTCTCCCACGGTCGACCCTGACGCGTTAAAAAGTATCAATGACAACAAACATCTTATGAATCCTTTGTTCATCAGTGGGTTGGAAGATTTCAAACGTGTGGTAGGGCGAATTCTGCTCCCGAAAAACAGCGTTAACGATGGAGAACTTGTCACTGGAGAAGGTAAAGGAAAAGCTTAATTACTTACTGTGCATCTTTTGTTGCACTTTACAGTTCCATCGAGGCTTAGAGCTGAAACAGCTTAGTTCTAAAACTAACGATGGTACACTCTCACCCTGAACTAGTAGCTTTTTTATAAATTTAATCAAAAGTGGACCACGGCTTTACTCTTTACTCACAAAACATGTAAGCGCAGTACAAATTAAAAGTTCTTTTTAATCAGGCCTTGCAGCACTGGTACAGCTTTACGTCCAATCCATCAACACCCCTGGTATGGTCCCGAATGTTCAGAACGCCTGGGATCAGTTTGTAGAGACGAAATGTGCTGACGCAATGAAAGATGCACTTAATGCTTATAGAGCCACCATGGTTTTACAACTGAAGGATAAGCTACCGTGTGATAATGATCGACTTCGAACTGGTCATGCACTGGCGTTGGAGAACAGTGAGGCCCATTTTATGACGGATACGAAAAGAATATCCACCAACACAATTGAGAGGTTTCTGAAAAACTTGAAGGTTAGGTATTAATTTTGTTGATGTGATGGAAATACGTCTAATCGTATTTTGCCAAATATTGTTTGTGCTATCTATAACCCAGACTAATATCTTTTACAGTCAATTTACGAAGAAAAAGATGAGAAAGGGGTTTTTTCACTATTTATATTTATTGTCGATCTTCCCTTTATCCACAGTGCAAAGATGGTTCACTGTAGCACTGAGAAGTAAAAATTAGTGCACACAAAAATTAGGAACAAATTCTGTCGCGTCCTAAGTCAAACTGTTCATTGACCTTTTTCTTTTGTAGGATCATGTTCTTATGAAGGAGAGAAGTGCTAACATTCTTTCCAACTCACGCTTGCGTTGCTTTTTACAGCTTTTTCTAGTAAAAAAAAGTCCTAGACGCTGAAGGAAGCGTCTCACGGAATCGTCTCACTTCGCAGTTTAATTTTGCGTTCTATATCGTTGTACTCGATTTAGGAATCTTTGAATGAAAGCTTTCACTTATGGCAAGAGGAGAATGCAAAAATGACCAGAGAATTCTGCAACAACTTGCTCAAAATGCTCAAAAAGAAGCACCTGGACCCAGTACTACAGCAATTACGAAGGAAAGAAGGAGTCAATCTTTCTTTTCATGAGATTATTGGAAAATATAATCTGATTAAAGATGACTACCACACGTCTGCCATCGGCGCAAATGATGAAATTGAAGCGGTGTTTTTTGAGTTTCACCCAGTAAGTAAAATTCAGGGTTTCACCGGTTCTGTTGTGAAAGTCGACATGCATTCAGTGTTTGCTTCCTGGTTTTCATTGCTTAGTTTCGTAGCACAGTTCAC